GACAAGTAGCAATGGAGAAATCTCCCATACCTCAAACAGAAACACTCAGAATCAGCAGTTGAAGGAAGGCATTTACTTGGTATGAGGAAACACACACGTGTAGTAGACACAGAGAAAGACCCTCCATAAAGCAAAGGGGAGATTTGAGAAGCTGAAAAGCCATTTTCATTTCAAGGACTGGCTTTTGTAAGACTCTGCAAGGTCTTCTTCCCATAATTTAGGCTTGATCAACTTGAAGAAAGACAGGACAGCTCATTGGCCCACAAATGTTGTATAACATGTCTTGATCTGGCTTGAACTTGAGCCAGTCTATCATCAGAGGACCTGAAGGTAGAAAAAGGCCACAAAACCTTTGTTTTAACATGACAGGCTTTTGTCAATATCCTGTTTGATGTTTTCCAGGTCCCAGATAAGAGAGCCTGGTCCCTGAAAGACGGTTGGGTTATCAGACAATGTCTCAGTAGAGAACCTGGTAGTATCTGTGAGAGGGGAATCACTGGAGGTATTGTGGATTCTAACTCTACTCTCTCCCTGTTGTAACTTTATAGTCAGGGGCAATCGCAGTTAAGTCTGTGTTTTATGATCTCACTTAAGCAAAATACCTTACATAATTGATAAGAAGGTAAATCCTAACAAATTTTGAGTTATTATACTATCTTTAGGAGTTGTGGTGGATTATTGAGGGGAGAAAAAGTAATAAAGAGTTAATGACCTAAGGGCTTCAGATAGGCTGAGAAACTGAACAGGAAAGTTGACTTGACTAAGTACACCAATGGGCTGTCAGGATCTAGGAAGCTCCTGAGAAAGGAGTCCAAAACTTTGTGTGACCTCCTAAACTAAGGGATCCCCCATGCAGCCCTCAAGGCCAACATACCAACCTCTGTGGGTATTTACCATCCGAGAGAGCAGACGAACTGACCAGCAGATGGAATCTCCCATCCTGAAAGGTTACTTCCACAAGGTCCCAAGATAGACATGGTTGTCTGTCACTTAAGATACTCAGGTTGTTACTGCTTTGTATGTGTGTGGTGTTGGTTTATTTTTTTTGGTTGTTGTGTTTGTTTGTTTGTTTGTTTGTTTGTTTGTTTGTTTGAGACAGGGTTTCTCTGGGTATCCCTGGCAGTCCTGGAGCTCACTTTGTAGACCAGGCTGGCCTCAAACTCAGAGAGATCCACCTGCCTCTGCCTCCCTCTGCCTCCAGAGCATTGGGATTAAAGGTGCTCCCCACCATGTTGGGCTTGGTTTTGCTTTTTTAATTTGGTTTTTATCGTGAAAGCTGGGGCCAGGGTTTCACTGTAGTTTGTCAAGTGGTTACAAACAGGAACAGGGCTTGGGCTGTCTTCTAGAACTGACCTCTCACATTTCCTCTGCTCATGCCTATCTTCTATTTAGCAATGTGCATTAACATTGTACCCTGACCCTGTGTTTGCGGCTGTTGTTGCTGTCGATGTTGTTGTGTGTGTGCTGGGGATGGAAGCCAAGGGCTTTCTGTGTGTCTCAGATGGCCACACCACCAGTCCTTGATTCTTTTCTAATAAGGATGATTTTCTATGCTTTTACAAATACAGCATCGCTAAGTTTTGTTGGCCTTTAATGAGATGTAGTGTGGTCACACTGTTTACTTCTGCACTCATTTATGGCTCCCTGTGACACTAATTGGGTCTCTTCCAGAACACATTAGGCCATTTATGCTGTTGTCTTAAAACACGGCATTTTCCAAGTATCTCTTCAAATCTGCTTCAGAATCTGCTTCTGTTTATACTCATTAAAGATACTTTAGCATTTTAATTTTTTCAGCAAATTAGAGGGTCTCTCTTTTGTTATAAAATTGGCCAACTGAAAGTGGCTTGATTAAATTTGTAAAAACCAAAAAAAAATGAATGTAGGTGAACCTATAATTTCCTTTCTGGTAACAAGGGGAAACTTATATGGCTCTAGAGATGGCCATTCTGAGGATACAAATATGTGGTGGCAGCATGGAGGAACTGAAGTGGGAAAGAGTTTTAAACAGTTTTTCAGTACCTTGAAAATTGAATGGCATGAGGACATGACCGTTCCTAGGTTGAGGAGAAGGGTTTTATTGTAGATATGAGGGAGAGCTCAGCCAGAGACATCTGGAAGGGTCCAGACCGAACTGGGTCATGTGATTGGGGGAGAGGGTAAGCAAACCAAGAGAAAAGCCAAGGACCAAGAGACCAAGAGAGGACACTTAGCGATTAGGGGAGGAGAGATGGATGGATAGAGCAGGTAGAGGGAAGGAGAGGCTGAAAGGGAGGACTCTAGAATTAGAAATCAAATATGAGGGTAGCTGAAGCCACCAGAAACAAATGATCCATACACACCTTAGGAGAGTCAAATCAGCAGCTTGGTTCAGTTAGGAGAGAGGCTGAGCTCCTTGGAAGGAGGCTCATAAATGCTCCTCCCACAACCTGCTCCAAAACTGCCTGCAACGTGCCAGCCCCGGGTGTTTCTCTGGGACTTGACATAAACAGTGCTTTTCCTTGTTATTTTGATGCAATACACCATTTGTGAAGTGGCATCAGTATCTGAGTATTGAACTCACCTACCATTTGTGGTTGAATATTATTTTCACTGTGTTATGTACATATGATAGAAACTCTGAACAAGGTGTGTTCTCTTCAGCATTTTGGCACATGGTTTCACACACAATCAGAAACCAATTTAGGTAACAAAATGCATTTTTAAAAAAAATCTATATATACAACATATATTCTTAGAAACAGACTGAAATTTGTATTCTGATCTTCTATTATTTAAATAGGTATCACTAGGTAAATAGGTGCATGCCATTGGTGATTTTGTCTTCATAGACAATCTTTAGTCATGCCCATTAACTCCATAGTCTTAGCTGTTAGAAGATACAACTCTTGGTCCCCAAATCTACATGTCAATACATGTCTCTTAGACGCACTGTAAGGCATACAGCAGAAGAATATTGGATTGCTACCTACGGTCAGCATTAGAATTCTCACCTTTGTTAAAGAGCGGTATAGGAGACCATCTAGGTACAGAACTGCAGAAAAGATGAAGTGTAGTTTCAATATTCACATGGGATCTCCTTACCTATTAATACTCTTCCTGAAGAACCTACCAGTTCTAAAGATTGACTGGATCTCTCCTTTGGTTCAGTGCCTATTCCTGGTTTCATCTACTTACCGCAGTATTTCTTTAAAAAAGTGTGGTCATATGCTACAATCCACAGCCACAGAGAGGCTAAGTAACAAAGAGGGCTCAAGGGGGGATACATGGATCTCCCCGGAAAGGGGGAATAGAAGAGACCTCCTGAGTGGACTGGGGGTGTATGGGGATGCAAACTTGAATCAGGTTGGGGGTTTGGTGGAGGGGAAGAGTACTGACAAAGATGACTGGAAGGGACCTGTTTCCAGGTCAGGTAGAAACTTGATGCTAGGGAAACTCCCACAAATCTATAAGGATGACCCCAGCTAAGACGCCTAACAATAGTGAATAGGTAGCCTGAATTGGCCAGCTCTTGTGATCAGATTAGTCATCTGTCATCAGAGAGCCTTCATCCAGTAACTGATAGAAACAGATCAAAGAGACCCACAGCCAAACATTTGGCTGAGCTCAGTGAACCCCGAGGAAGAGGAGGATGGATTGTAGGAATCAAAGGGGTCAAGGACATCACAAGAAAACCCACAGAAACAACTAACAGGGCTCATAGGAACTCACAGACTATGAACCAACAACCAGGGAGTCTGCATGGGACTGACCTAAGCCCTCTACATGTACATGACAGTTGTGTAGCTTGGTCTAGTTGTGGGACTAGTAATAATAGTAGCAGGGGCTGTCCCTAATGCTTGGGCTGGCTCTTGGGAACACATTCTTCATACTGGATTGCCTTGCTCAGCCTAAATATAAGAGGCGGTGCTTAGTCTTACTGCAACTTGATATGCCATGTGTTGTTGGAACCCATGGGAGGACTGCCCCTTTCTGAACTCAAATAGAGGAGGAGTAGACTGGGGAGGGTGAGCAGAGGGGAAGCAGGGACTGGGAGGATGGGAGGAGTAGAGGGAGGGGAAACTACAGTTGGGATGTAAAATAAATAAATAAATTTGAATAAAAGGAATGGTCATTGTGAGATGGAATACCTATTTCGCCAAGGTGTTTTTTTACATTGTGATAAAGATTAGAGACAGCATTCCCCACTCCCTCTAGAAATACAACGGACTGATAGATTCTAAAGGATTGCCACCCACGTGTTTAATTACCTTAGGATCACAGCCTTTGGTGTCGAATCTGACTCACAGAGGAGCCTCGACCTTTGGTTTTGTGCCTGGTGAACACAGGAGCTCAAGATTCATTGGTAAGCTGCATAATACCTGATTGGAAACCTTGCACCCAAGTTAAATTCTGTTTGACCATATCAAGAACTACTGGGATGAACTGATAAGTTTTTCCAACTCCGAAACTTTCTAGTACTAGGATAATGACTTTTCTTCTGGAACCTAACAAATATCTCAGTGTAATTCTGTCGTAATAAGTTTCCTTCGAAATTATTAATAAGTCGGTAGCAAAATGTGAAGTAAGAAGATAAAGCCATACGAACTGTAAATCTTATTAACAGGAATGTTAGAAAGATCAAAGAATACTGGTAATTAAAGCGGTTGAATCCAGCTCTCTAGCGTCCATCAGTGCACGCCGGTAGGTTGCTTAGCAACTCCTCAACACTTCCTCATCCACCCTGCCTCGAGTCCCGCCCCCAGTTCCGCCGCCACGTCCGGCTTCCTAACATCCCTTACTTCCGCCCTAACCAGCCACTGGGGACCTAGAGGCTACTCCGTGTGACCTCCATTACATTGCCTGACTAAAAATTTGTTAATAAACAATCAAAAGTAGAAACCTATTCTTTATCTATCATTTATACTTTATTATCATGGATATACACTCAGAAAAAACTGTTGATTTTTGTCTAGGTGTCTTCTGAGGGCCTGTGTGTGACTGTGCGTTTTTCAGGCGAGCCGTGGACAGCCTCACCGGAGGGCGACGTGGGCCGCGAAGGCCCCCGCTGCCGGCCACCGAGGAAGCTGGGGCCGGCGACTAGGCGCGGTGTGTGTGCGCGGCGGCTCCACCATGTAAGTGTCCGTCCCTCCGCCGCGGCCCTGGCCCCGCGGCCCGACCCGACCGTAACACCGTCTCGCTCTCTCCCGCAGGTCGAAGGTGTCCTTTAAAATCACGCTGACGTCGGACCCGCGGCTACCGTACAAAGTGTGAGTGACAGGCTGGGCTGCAGCCGGCCGGGCCTGGCGGGACAGGAGCGTGCAGGGAGAGGGGGGCAGCATTTTTGCTGAGAAGCCAGCACCCCTCGGAATGCACTGGGCGGGCAGGTGCATCGGGAAGAACTTTGGACAAGGATGCAGGACGTTACTCCACCAGTCCCCTTTACTTGATTTAAAGGCCTTTAACCACTTGGACCAGCTGTTACCCGAAGTTAGGGAAGACTCCCTAAGTCTGGACTCTTTGGCAGGTCCGAACCTAACACTGCTAGCTTCAGGTTTTTTGTTTTGTAGTGAGTATGATTCAACAACTGGTTGTCTCAGTGATGAACCCCAAGTCACACACACTTGGATCTTAATTTAAAAAAAAAAAAAGTGCTTAGCGCGATTGGGGAATGTGGGTGTGGGGCTGTGTATATACTTGTTGGGCCCTTTATGCTTGAGCAATTGAGTTGGTGGTTAACACAGGTTACCGATCTCAATTTTCTCATGATTTTTAAGTCTAGACCCCTTTGAGTAAGTACAGCTGGAAGGCCTATGCTAACTGGCAACATTTCCGTAAGATTCTGTGCATGGTTTGTGTAGTGGCACCAAGCCTAGCTAACTGAGCTGATAGCAGCCGTCCTCACTGTCTGTGCCTTCGCACCTGTGACTCATTCAGTTCTAGGCTTGTTGGTCCCTTACCTTTGCATCTCTAAAATGGTCCCCCTACCCCTCCCTCATCGCTCCAGTAGTTGCTCCATCTCTAAACTGTCGTTTTTCAGGTACCCACATCCTCTCCCCCCGGATGATTTACTGCAGTATCTCTTCCACAATACTTCTTTGAGTCATTTGTCCCTCTCCCATCCCCGGTGCCAGGCCCACTCATTTTTTAGGCAGGTGGAAGTCTATGGTCTGCCTTTTTAGATCACTCTCTCCTAAGGATCCTTGAATCTCATGGACACCTCTCTGTGATATATTTTGCTTGGTGAAACACCAACTGCAAGTCCAACCATTTATAGTCTCTGTACTTGACTCTGTTCCTAGAGAAAATTACAGTAGCATTGTCGAGTTTTATGAAAAAAAACTTACGACTGACATTCTGCTATGTTCCCAAAAGTTTGCTCGTTTTTCTATTTTCAGAAAGTATTTTTGTTTTATTTCACTCATTTTTCTATTTTCAGAAAGTATTTTTGTTTTATTTCAAATTTTCCACAACTCCTTTCCCCCTTGGTTAAAAGGAGCGGGGAGTTCTCTCATTTTCATGCAGTGCCCATAAACATCTCCCATACCTTTACCGAAAAGAACGTAGCTACTGCTGTGAAAGCCTCTCTACAGTTCACCTGTTTTGGTCTGCTTAGGATGGAGGCACGTTAAGTCAGGGCACCTTTCTCCGGTCGGTTTTTTCTCCCTCTGTACTCTATGATGCTCAGCAGTGTGTAATTGTGCTCTGAAAAGAAGAATGAGGAGGAGGAGGAGGGAAGGGTAAAGGACAGTCAGCCGGACAATACCAGAATCAGCTGCTGGAGCGTGGGACCATTTCAGTTAATACATTGCAGCTGAATAACTTTGATTAACTATGCCAGGTTGTGTTTATTTAATGCACGTGTGGATGTGTGTGTGCATGTGTCGTCTGCTCATGTTCTACATGAGTACTTGCAAAATACTACTGAAATGTGTACTGAGCACCTCTGATTCCTGATATATTAGAAGATTTTAAATGAGTGGTTGTTAGGACTGTTTGGATTTTCTTTTTATTCTGTGCCCCTCTACAAATAGGAAAGGAAAGAAAGGAAAAGAACGATACAAATTTTAATCGTTGAATAACATTTGAAGGAAAAATGCCAGCACAGAAAAATCATTTGACAGTCAGTACTTTTATATTCAGAGATGGTGGAAGAGGGACCCAGGCTTAGACCTAAGAATATTCTCTGGCAGTGGTTGATATTAAGACATTAATGGGATGTGTGATGACAAATAGAAAAACTTAGAATGCTAGCTTTTTGTTTTTCTGTGCTTGAGAGGTATCTGGTTTTTGTGCTTAATCAGTGCTTTTGGGTTTTTTGTTTTGTTTTATTTTGTTTTTGCTTTTTAGAAACTTGGATGAGAGGCAGTAGACTGAGGACCAAGGAGAGGTTGACCTTGCTAATAGCTATCTCATCCTGGGTACACTGGCACAGCCTTTAATCCCAGTATTTGGAAGGCAGAGGCAAACAGAGCTCTCTGAGTTTGAGACCAGCTTGAGACGCTGCCTTTAAAAAAAAGACAAAATAAATTATCATATTAAACGTCTGCCCATGTGCTACACTCACTTACATCACCCTGGGTGGAGCCATGGCTCAGTGTTGGGCACTGGCGGCTTTTGCAGAGGACTCAGGTTCGATTCCTAGCACCTATGGGATGGCTCACATCTGACTGTAACTAGTTCCAGAGGATGCAATGCCCTTGTTTGGCCTCTGTGGGCACCTGTACATATATGTACATACATAAACCCAGGCACATACACAAAATACAATGAACTTTAAACACACATAGATAAAAAGAAAGAGAGGAGGCAGAACTCTGTGCTTGCCCATTGTCGGCTTTCACACAGAGTGTTGGTTCCTTGTCTGGACTCTGCTTCTCTGGTGTCTTGTTTTCAGCACCAGTGCACACAATGCTGCCACGAAAACAGCCAACCTTAAAACTCCAAAGACAATTTCCCTCATTTGCAATAAAATCAATGTTGAAGTTCTTTAACTTCATTTTTGTTTGTTGCAGTCTCAGTGTTCCTGAAAGTACGCCTTTCACAGCAGTGTTAAAGTTTGCAGCGGAAGAAGTAAGTGTGGATTCCAACAGTGTCCCCATGGATGCAGTCTGGCTTGGTTCTGTTTTCTGTCTTGTGTGTATTCGCCTGCCCTGTGCCCCTCCCCACCCCATTTCCCTGTTGTTATAGCTGGGCTCAGGCTATAGGAGTCACAAGTCCAGGTAAAGTTACTCTCTTCTCATTAGAAAACAGTGAGCTGAACAAATTGGCACATCTGTTTAATTCAGCAGATGAAAAGTGTGAGAATTGTATTGGTAGTGAATGTGCCAGAGATATGTAAGAGCTGACTTTATATCAACCTGTATGGGATGTACTTTCAGTAAAAATTAGTTGTTTTAAAAAGTGTTTTTAAAAAAAACACATTGGCATATTCTGGTTTTAAGAGATTTTTCCATCTACAGTTATCAGAATTGTTTAGAAAGCATCTCTGGGCACAGCACTTGGAAGTGTAGGTTGATCTGGGCCAGTTGGCACCAGAATGTGATTTGGGAGACTTCAGCTTTCTGTTTTGTGGTGGCATTGGTCAGCTGCATCACATAAACCAAATCCCTCTGTTCTCTTCTTGCCCTCCTGGTCCCCAGTTCTGGGACTCAGTCCCTGGGCTGTGTGCATACCATCTAACCCAAGCTCTAACACTGCACTATATATTCAAGTAACTGCTTTTTTACTGTTGTTTCTTTCTCCAAAAGATTGTTGGATTTTAGAATTGTAGAATTGATACTAGGGCCTGCATCCTTATTCTGTCTTTCATGGTTCCATGCAAATGGTATTGACTTGTTTTTTTCTTTTCTTCCTTTTAGTTTAAAGTTCCTGCAGCAACAAGTGCTATTATTACTAATGGTAAGAATTCGCCTTAAACCATAAGTGCTAGAGACAGTGGGCCTTGAATCCCCAAAGCCCCTGTATGTGTTAACATAAACATTGCACTTATAGTAAACTCTGCATGGAGGCCACTGCATGTAATGACCTCTGCTTAGTTTCTTCTGCCTTAGGTTAGAGAAGCTTCACAGTGTCTCCTGTCCTCATCTCTTAATTACTGCAGGCAGCTTCCTTTCTGGCAAGGTTTATATATACGTCAGGTTGTAGCAGAAATTGCTTTAAGAGGATAGAAAGTTAAGCAGGAATGTGACTTCCCTATGCCTTATCTGTGCTAATAGGAAACTGGTTTACAGGCATGCAGTGTTTTTCGATTTAGATATAGTCAGTTAAAAATCTGAATACCTTGGAGCACTGGCACACATTCCAGTGGAACTGGTCTTAGGAGATAAGAGTAAAGCAGTGAATGAGCTGTGAGGAGCACTTGTCCATCTGTGTAAATTACTGTGGGTGGGAAACGTCCATGCAGGTAGTTCTAATGTAGCAAAATAGGACTAAAAATACCATCGTGTGTAGAATGTATGAGAATCATTGTCCTTAGGATGTTTTGTCTCATCCAACAGTGCTTATAAACACATGCCATGGGAGGTGTCCACAGATGGGTTGCTCATCGAAGAGATCATTGGCTCTGTTCTGGGATTGAAGTTGCTCAGCCTTTGCCTGTACCCATAGCAGCACTATTCTGGCAAATCTCTTGTTACTATTTAAATTGTTTTAGCTTTCAGAATAACTGACCTGATTTACAATTTATTTTCTAGATGGAATAGGAATAAATCCTGCACAGACTGCTGGTGAGTGTCTGCCTGTGTGTCCATCGAAGCTGAATATTTATTCATTTCAGTTAGATAGGATTTTACAGAAGACACAGCTGTGTAGAGCTTATGTGGCAGTCTATTGGTAATACAATGACAATTGGTTTCATTTATATATTAATTATTTCTGTGGTTCTCACTACAAGTAAATGAAAGCCTGATTAACAGTGGTTTAGAAATTAAAAGTATTTAGTTAATACTTTCATAACAAAGAAGTCTGAAGGTGAGATTGTGCTGCCAGGTTAGTGACTGACCCTCCTCTTAAAGTGATTGTGAGCTCATCAGTGAATTGCTTAAGGTCTGGGGTCTTCCATGGCTAGTATCTAGGAAGTGCCAGTGAGAGTGCTGGCCCCCATTCCTTTACACAGCCCCAGCCACTGACGGTCGAAAGGCTGAGCTCTCACTGACACTCAAACCGTGAACATAGCTTAGCATGGAACATTGACGTCCTAGCCAGCAGGTAGGGCAAGTGTGTCTTGAACTTCAGTGAAGCACTCTTAAACTGTGAAAGAAGAGTCTGTATTTATTAAGATTGTGTCCTTTGGCTGATAGTCTAACTATAATGCTTTGAAGCTGTACTATTTAATATAATATAGTCTCATTCTTGAACAATACTTGGCTTTTAAACAATTGTATTTGGAAGATGTTGATTTATAAAAATTATGTTTGACCGCTTATGTCACTGTTGAACATCACAAATCTAGAAAATGAGTGATACACAGTTGGAGACTTTTGTTACCATAGTCAGTGATCTTGAGTATATAGTTAAACTGAAGTGTTTGTTTATTGAGAATCCTGAGGCACTGTATTACATAAGTATCAGGTGATATGGGGGAAGATGGTTTTGTTACTTTGGGTTCTAGAAGTTTTTGTTAGCTTATATTCATTTGAATTCTTGCTTATTCTCACATGTTGCCCTTTATGTCACCTTTCAATTGAATCATGTGTGTCATGGAGCTTGATTATAATCTCACCAGGGGCTTGAACCCGAGTACCAGAGCATGTCAGTAGCCTCCTGACCTTGGATGTACTGTTTTTTTGCCGGTGGCGCCATTGGTTGATGGTACTGCATTTGCTGGCATGACAGTGGCTGGTGTGTCTTCACATTTAAGCACTTGTTGATCTGTGGGGCTGGAGGAGGAATGGGCAGGGCTTTGGAAAGTAGGCACCAGCTCCGAGGATGCAGGGCTTCCTCCCTCCCTCCTCCCTAATGCATCATCTCATGCTGTGTGCCCGTTGCTGGGATGCCAGTATTGTCCCCTATAGACGCCTAACTGTGCATTTTTGTTTGTTTGTCTAGGAAATGTTTTTCTGAAGCATGGCTCAGAGCTGCGAATCATTCCTAGAGATCGAGTTGGAAGCTGCTAATGTCTGCTTCTTGAAATACCCAGCTTTTCAGAATAAATACTGGTATTTGTTGTTGCTGTACTATTGAAATCAGGCATTCACAATACAATGAAAGCACCAAGAATCAATGAAACAGGAAAAATGACTCTTGTCCCTTCTTGTTCGTTTTGTTCATGGGAAGAGAGAATGCCTTTGAGTGGAGGGTACCAACCATAGGTCACACAGTGGGTGACTGCTGCCTCACCAGAAGAAGAGGGTACTTCTGTGACCAATGGACTGTGCTTTAAAAAAACAAACAAAGCCAACAACCAAACCAGAGGATGAGTCTGATCAGCCCTTTCAGGAACATTTGGAAAATCAAAATTTACAGTATCAGATGTATTTTCTGACTTGAGAATTTAAAGGATAATGATCGTAGAAGCATTCAGCTCAAGAGCATCTCACCTGCGGGCCCATGTTTAGATTTTCAAATTATATTGGTTGTGATGAGTTGTACAAAACCAAAATTAAATCATGGGATTTAACCATTATGTGTATAAAGTTGGTATCTTACACAAATAGCTTCGACATAGTGATCTTGTGAAATCAAATGTGTCCTGGTGGGAATTGACTACCGCAGAAGAAGCACCCTTAGCTAAATTACGCATTCCTTGATAATGTCTTAATACAGTGTTCAGACAGAAGTCCTTACACCCTTCTTTTTGAGGATTCTGTAGTGTCCATTGTTTCAGAGGAGATCTGACTTTTAGAACAAAGCTTAGCGAAGCAGCACCTATGCTGGTGGGGTATCCCTACTGATCAGGAGCTTAAGGAAGCTGTTAGCATTAGTGATAAGTGGATAAGAAGCCAGGGCAGCAAAGATGGCCAGGCTCTTGCTGGAAGAACTGAAGAAGTGATGAGGAACAGAAGGCTGGCAGTGTCACAGGAGACATCAGAGAAGCTGCAGTAGGGTTGGAGAAGTATGAAAGGGAGAAGAGGACCAGGCATAGCATCAGTGATGAGGAGCAGGAGGCTGGCAGTGTTGCAGGAGAAGTATGAAAGGGAGAAGAGTACCGGGCATAGCATCAGAAGGCACCTCCATATACAGTTCAGAACACCCACAGCCATCTACAGAAAGATGTCAGGGCCTGGGACCTGGGGAGGAGGCAAAGCTTTGTAAGCCAAAACCCATGTGGAAAGAGAGAACAACTCCACAGTCATCCTCTGACCGTACACGGATGCCCTGATGTGAGCCAATGCCCCCTCCCACAATGATGCATTCTTTTAAAGATCATCGTTGCTCCTACAGAGGAAATCTATGTCTTTATCATCTTGCAGGATGAATTAAATGCTGACAGTGACTAAGTGAGAGCTGGCCTGTTCTTGATTTAGCGGGTGAGCTTTTTGGAGGTGAGGGTCTGTGTGTCACATGCTCCCTAGAGCTAGAGATACAGGTTCTCAATAAATACTTACTGAATTCATGAATAATGTCTTCAGGACCAATTTTTATTTCGTGTCTTGTGTATTCCCTATTAAAGGACCTTGGCTCACTCTGGGATATTTGTAAGAATATTAAGGGTCAGCATCTGAAGAGTTACGTCAGTAGATGGAAGAATTGTCATTCACAGGTTTTCAGAATGCATGCTGGAGTTCTGAGTTGTGTAGCAATATGCAATTCTTGTCTGCTGGGATTTTATTTTTATAAAAGTCTAGTGCCTGGAGACCCTATTCCTTATAGCATTAAACCTGTGCTAGCCAGAAATGTTTAAATACTTGGTACCTAATTTTTTGTTAAGTTTCTTCCATTCTGCCTTAATTCTGCATGCTTTCTATAATGTGTATACAGTCCTGCAGTCTAAAATGATTTACCTAACACATCTGTTCTTTGACTTGAAAATATAGTCTTCAAAATATTTTACTCAAAAACTAGATGATTTATTATTAAGTAAATGTGATCTGTAAGTTCTTTATGCAGAATGTTTTAGGTATTATATTTAAATGCCCATAATTAATAGTGTAGGAAAATACATTTTGTTATATTGTAAACCATGGCTATCATTACTTTACTATCAGACTTAATAACCAGCATACCTATTGAGCCAGTTTATTAGTTGTAAGTCATTAAAAAAAAGAAAAGGAAATTTCTAAATGTCAATCCATATACGGAAGAAGAAAACTTCAGGAGGTCCTAGCTCTGGTAGTGAGCAGAGTAAACTAGGAAATTAGAAACCATCCCTCAGGTTCTGAGTCTAACTCATAAGCATGAGAACATCTGTAAGGAGGTCTGATGGCTTCATATGCTGCTTGAGGGTTAGCTCCAGGATAGCCTTTCCACCCTAGAGAGTAGAATTGCAAGCTGTGGTCAAAGGACCCTGGAATCTTGGGTGGTCCTTTAAACCACTTGACTTTGTAATAACCGACAGCGAAGATGCTGACGATTGTCCCTGCTGGGAAAACTGGCTTACAGTTCATCAGTGGACTTGTTGTTCTTTATGTCTTAGCTGTAGTTTTTATTTGAAAAAGAAGTCAATTGAAAGGATTCCAAGGGGGTTGGCTCAGCCAAAACAGGTGCTTGCTTATAATAACCCGAGTTCATCCCTGAGACCTTCATGGTAGAAGGAAAGAACTGACCTCCACATCCAGGCTGTGACACATGGACATTTATATCCACTCAAATGTAAAACATTTTAAATTACCATTATGTCTTTGCCCAAGAGGCTCCAAACATTTGTAAATTGGAAGCATTGATATACTATAAAAGAGTAATTCTAGGTTATTACTGTTCCCAAGGCTATTTACAAAGCTAGGTAAAATTATGTGCATAGTTGGTTTATCATTAAAATGTGTTTAGCGCTGGACAGATGCTCAGTGGTTAAAAGCACCTACTGCTCTTGCAGAGGATCAAGGTTTTGTTCCCCACAGTGTCTCAACCATCTGTAACTCCAGTTCCATGGGATTCAGTGTTCTCTTCTGGCCTCTGTGGACATCGCAAACAACACTTCTGTACACCTAAATCTAGAAAAAAAAAATGATAAAAGTCTGTTGAACTTTAATTGTGAAGACTAGTTTAATGTATGACTTGTTGAAACAGTGCTCAGTGAGTCCCACCTCCTGGAAGGACTGGGAAGATTACACCTTGAGCCAGGCTTTGTCTGGGATTCCATATAACTTTTGAGAAAATTTCAGAATCCATTTTCTGCAAAATACTCATCAAACAAAACTTCCATGGCATGCTGAAAATGGATAGTAATGAGTGCCATTCTTGGAATAGATGCTGTAGTGATGATGGAAAAACTACAGAGTCCAGACACTTGTGGCACACTTGTGCAATCCCAGCAGTAGGGCTGCAAGATCAAGGGCAGCCTGGGCTGCACAGCAGGACGGCCTCAGGACACAAATACACACACAGACAGCCACAGTGACTGGCATGTGGTTTTACCAGCCCAAGCTGTCCATCAGAATTACAGTCTGTATGAGAGGCCTTCCTGCCATCACAGGCCTTTCTGGACTGTTCTTTGTCCATAGGCACCGGTTCCTGCTGTCTTCATGGTTTACTTCTGTAGCTGTACCACACTTCAGAGGCTGTTTAGTCATGTGGTGTGCCGTGTTGTTAGGCTTGTTGCCTTTACTTCCCACATCTGTGACACCAGGAAACCTATGGCTCGAGAAGCTCTCAGCCTTATTTCTCTGCTTCCCAGCCAAATTAGGATTTAGCCACTGCATCTTCTTTTTTGCTGTAGCAATTATTAAGCACAGAATTATTTGTCCCAAACTATAAATTTTATAAGTCCAATATCATGGTTTGAATAAGAATGGCCCCCATAGGCTCCTGAGTTTGAATGATTAGTCACCAGGGAGTGGTGAGATTTAAGAATGAGGTATGGCCTTTGGAAGGAAATGTAGCACTAGGGTTAGGCTTTGGGGTTTCTAAAGCTCATGGCAGTCCCAGTCTCTCTCGCTCACTCACATTCTCTCACTTGTCACTCTCTTGCCTGTGGATCGTGAGGTAGTTCACAGCTACTTCTCCAGCACTCTGCCTCCTGCCTGCCACCCTGCTCTCTACCATGATGATAATGGACTAAACCTCTGAACCTGTAAGCAGGCCCTAATTTTGCTTGGTCACGGTGTCTCTTCACAGCAGTAGAACAGTAACCAAGACAAATATGGCCAAAAATGGGTTTCAAAACTAACTTGTCAATAATAAATACTTAGTAAAGCAAAGAAAGGAATGAGAACTTCGAAAATTGCAGTTCTTTGGGCTTCATCCTCAGTATTTGATTATCATGTCCATATCCCCCAGTTTGGTACAGCAGGAATTAACTATCTCAGAAATAAACAGCCGACTTGGGAAGCGCCAGATGTCTCAAAGAGAATGCCTAGCAAATGAACAACAGTATTAGCTACAAACTGGATGTTCAATACTGGACACGATGAGTATTAAAATACAGCTAAGGCCTGTTTCCTCTTCTTGTGCTTCCTAAGATGTATACATTTCCAAAACATCAAAACTATGCTGTGAGGTGTCAGGGAATATCTGTGCTTGGCCTCAGCTGACTCACAGTCTTGGTGTGTATTTCTTCACTTTGCTGTCGAGGAAACTGAGACTCCTCCAGCTCATGTGGCCGAGGTGACAGGGAGAGTGACAAGGTCTACACAACCAGCTCCGTACTATGAATCGTGCCTACCTTTTTCCCCTTAGAATTAAAATATTTCTGCAGAACAATATAGCACATCCAGAATGGGTTCATAAACGGTTATCAACCATTTCTGTGGTCACACTTGGCTTGAAAATGTTGCCGTTTGCAATCTCACTCCCCTCCAGTGAGAATAGTCATTTATATAACATTCATCATTTGAAAAGGTTTGTGGCTCTATTGTCTGATTTTTTTTTCTTTTTTTGCATAGAGTTGTGATTTTGTTGCCGAATGCAAAATACCAGCCAAGGTTGGCAGACAAATGGAGAGCCAGTTTTGGACATAAATCTCTGGTTCTCTGGCAAAACTCATTCGAAATGTAAAAGCTGTTATTGAGAGCATATTGTGATGATACATCATGTCAATATTTGTTTGGCTGCCTAGCAGGTTTAATAAATCAGTTCTTAAGCGTACAGTTTCCAGTTGACGGGTTGTTTTAGAAACGAGCTATGGCATGTTTGTTGTCAGGACCACACACATTTTGACAAGTATCGACATGCTGGAGTCTCTGGATTTTTTTATTTTGGTTTTCTAAGATAAATATACAGACAGATTAAGGGTTTTTCGGTCTTTACACGTCCACATTGTGTAAGGATGGAACAAGGAGTTGGAGGTAAATTACTCAAGTGGTAGCAGTGATGGTGTCTCAGGTCTGTGCTTAGCTACATCCATCCAAACAGACGTAGTTTCTCAGGACACTGGAAAATGAAGGTTTGGGAGCTGGGGGAATTGTGCACGAGTTGCAGCCAAACCTTCAGAAAGATTTAGTGGTCTTGAACTTCCCCAACCCTACTGTTTGAATTGCAGTACAGCGTAAGTGATGTAATTTTTAAGTGGAGCCAGCTTTTACCTGTGAGAGTGTTTCAGAGTGGTATTCATTCCTAGTGGGACTCTCTAAAATGTAATCTATCTCGTTTTTCTTTGGTTATAAGTTTTAAATTTTTTTAAAACAGTATATCCCTAATATTTTAATGAAGTAAACAGGATTTGAAAACATGGCACCCTTGCTATAAACAAAGAAAAAAATGTAAAATATAAACTTCTGACCAGCTCCTGTGTCTTCTGCTTCCTACCCTCCCTCCCAGCCCAGTGACATGAAAGAAGCCTCTTGCTGTAGGAAGCTGCTGAGGACTTTCCCAGAGTACACTTGGTTTGTCCCTTCTGGCGGTGCATTTTGCAGTCAGCTGTATCAGTATTGGGCTTCACAGCCTCAACAGGCTGTCCGAACAGCCTTGGAGTTTCTATCTTTGTCAGATAAATTTTTTAAAAAAATTAACGTGTGTTATATCTTCCTGCATGTATGTATGTATACCATATGCCTGCATGGTGCCCCTGGAGGCCAGGAAAATGCATCAGATCCCCTGGAACTGGAGTTACAGATGGTTGTGAGCTATCATGTATATTCTGAGGCTCGAACCCAGGTCCCCTGAAAAAGTAGCCAGTGCTCTTCACCATTGAGTCATCTCTAGCCCCTGCCTAGTATCTTTTTAAACCCTAACTCTAATGCCTGTCCTCACACACTGTTGTTTTCCCTGGCTACCATCTTGTATGGAAGATTCAAATTGACCTGTGCAACCACAGGGATTGAAGAGCATCCTTGACTTAAGTGCATCTATACCCAGAAGATCCTTCTGGAGCCTCGGCATGTGGAGACTACTTGCCAGAATCTCAAGAGGCAACAAAATGTGCAGGACCTTCTGCCAGGGTAATGAGTACCCCCATGCTCAGATAACTCACATCTTGGTTAAATGGATTAGCATTCATTTTTGTAGGACCATGCAGTCATAGTCA